CCCTCTGCAGGCGGGGCGAAGGCACTCACTCCCAGGCAGGGTCCGGAGGGTGGGTGTTGGTGGGGCCGGGGTGTCGTGCAGGGGGCAGTCGAGGCGACGGCTTGGAGGGGCGCCCCTGTGGGCAGGCAGCCCGTTCCGTTACTGCTCCTGACAGACAGCCTCCCTGGGGAGACCCCAGGAGACCCCAGCTGCCCGGGGTGGGCGGGGGGGGTGCTGGGGTGCTGGTTCCGCTCAACATGCCCCCTGCTCCTCTGCTAACCTCACCCCTCCTGGCCTGATGAAGACATTAGACCCGCTGGGGAAGTGGGGGGGATGTCTGGACCTCACAGAGGCAGACAGACAGACACTGAGATTCCCCCACGGCCACCCCCTCCACGGCGCCTGGCACAGCTCTGCTCTGTGGCTGCCTCCGAGCCCGTCTGGGGCTGCGCCCACGCGCTCCCAAGAGAGGAATGTTCCAGAAATGATAGCTTCAAGGGGCCTCGGGGATGGGCCGGTCCAAGCCCCTCCTGCTACAAACGGCGAGAAGAGGCACCGATGCGGGCGGCCGCTTGTCTGAAGTCGCCCAGTGTGGGCGCCAGAGCAGGCAGGGACGCAGCACCTCGCCTCCCTCGGGGGCGAGGGCTCCGGCACAGGAACAGACCGCCGCGTCAGGGCTCACCCCAGGCCTCGGCGGGCGGCCTCCCGGTGCCGCAGCGTCCACGGCTGCAGAACGGGGCTGGCATGCCTGCCCCCCTCCTGGGCTGGGGGAGGCCTGGCGGGGAGGGGGTGCACGGTCCTGGATTCAGCAGGAAGCCCCGAGGCTGCCTGTGAAACCCCTGCCCGGTTAGGAACGGGTCTGGGCCTCCCGTCGTCAGCTGCCTTGCCTGGCAGGAGTGTTTTGTGGGCTGGTTCGTGGCGGGGAGGCTGGGCCTGGGCGTCACAGGCTGGGAGCCAGATGGTATGGTGGGGGGAGAGGGGCGGCGGGGAGCCCCTATGAGCTGGCGCCTGGGGGGGGTAGAGGAGGGGCAGTGAACTAGCCCACTCACCCTTGTGGCTCAGGCAGAGGGTTTCCCCATCTGTGAAATGGGGGTGATGACTCACCTCTCGGTGGAGCGCATCTGGGACTCGCTTGTACGCGTCCCGGTGCCTGGCACGGGCAGGGTCTGGGGTGTAGGCCGGGACTGTTAGTGAAAGCCCTTGGGTCCGAGTAACCGGGAGGAGGCGTCATCGTCTGAGCGCTGAGGGTGGCCGGACCCTAGCCCCGGCTTGGGCCCCCTGCTCACAGGAGGAGTGCTGAAGCCAGCCTGCGTGGCCACAGGGAGGGGCCCATTCCCCTGCCGATCCCTGGTCGTGCTCTGGCTGAGCTCGAGCCCACGCCCCTGCCATGCACACGTGTGCACAGACGTGAGCCGAGGCGGCAGTCCTGGGCCACGGGGAACCTGCCGGAGGGGCCCGTGTCTGTGCCTGCAGGGATCACCCGGCCCCGCCCCAGATCCAGCTTCCTCTTTTGTCCTGGGGGCATGAGGAAGGAAATCCAGGACTCCCTCTTCCCACTTCCCGCTCCCCACCCCCAGCCAGGACTCTCAAAGCAGCGAGGAAGGTCACCAGTCCGGTCCTGGGAGAACCATGCCAGCTCCTGGTGACTGGGTCTGAATCTGACCAGAGTGGCCATCAGCCTCCTAGCCCGCTTCCTGCCCGCCTCAGCCCCTCCAAAGCCGGCCAGGCACTTCCAAACCCCGCACCCCAGCACGCTTCTCCTTCAGGAACTCCCTAGGCCCCTTGGCCTGGCTCCGTGGCTCCCTCCCCTGCCCTGCAGCTCGTCCCAGAAGCTCCTGGCTCAGTGCAGGCTGGATCGCCCCTCGTGTGCAAATGAGTCAAACCAGGGGGCGGCGTGAGGCCGCGCTGAAGATTGAGACAGGTTCTCGCACACAGCACTCACCCCTGGGCCGACAGCAGGAAGGGGCCCCTTGGACGATCGCAGCGACTCGCGATAATATCCATAACGATAAACTCACATCCGTAGCCCCGCCCCCTGCCCCCACCAGAACATCGTGCTTGCTAGAACTGTGTGCAAACTGAGAGTCAATTAGCCCCGGTGAGGCTCCGACAGGTGTCACGGAGGATGGAACGTGGATGGGGAGGAGGGCCGGGAGGGCGCGTGAGATGCCAGCGGGTGGACAGTGAGGGAAGGGATGGATGGGGAGGCTGGTCTGGGGGTCTGAGAGGTGGGTTTGTGTGTGGGAGGGGCCGGGGGCCCGTGATCCAGGTGGGCCAGCAGCTACGCGGTCGGCTCGGGCAGCCGGGGCGGTCGGAGGACAAGCCGTTGGGTGTCTCAAGCTGCTGGCTGGAGGAGAAGCCATGTGATCTGGGGGGGGGGGGGGGGGGGGGGGGTGGCGGTGTCGCAGTGAGGAGGCCTAGCTGCCCAAGGCTCCGGGGCGGGAGACTAGAGCCCGGTCCCCCTCCCGAACCCATGCCCCAGGGAGGACTCTGGTGGAGGGATGAGGGTCCGGTTTGGCCCCGGGTCCTTGGCCGGCCCTTCCCTCACAGCCCCCGAGGCAGTGACCGGCCCCTCCGCCCGCCACAGGCGCTTCCATCACCTGCTCACCGACCACCGCCACTGGATCCGCGAGCGCAGCCACGAGTCCTACGCCAAGAACTACTCTGTTGTGTTCCCCCACGACGAGCCCCTGGCGGGGCGCAACATGAGGACAGACCCCCTGCACGAGGTACGACACCCCGACGAGCGGCCACTCTCGGGGAGTCCGGGGCACTGGGGCGACGGAAAGGCGTGCTCTGGGCCGGGTGAGGTGACGCGGTGGCTCGGCCATTCCCAGCTCTCACCAACGGAGCGTGCTCGGAGCGCACACCCCGGCACCTTCCCTAACTGCCGACGGCGGTCGTGGGGGGCGGGGGCACTGGCCGGTGTGTGCGCTCGCCCATCGGGGACGGGCACTGACAGCAGCATAGCCCCAGAGACATGCGTCCTGCGCGTGGGGCCTGCTTAGGATGCCTTTCCTCCCCGGCAAGCTCCTACTCGTATGACGAAACCCACTGTCAGGTGCCCTCCCCCCCGGAGCCCAGCCTTGGCACTCTCCCAAGCCCCTGACGGTCCCCTTCCTCGTGCTCCCAACCCACCTCCGTGTCCCCTCTCCCACCCCCATCTTGTGCTGCAAGCTGTCCTCATCTAGGGCCCCGGGAACAGCAGCTCTGCCCTAGTCTCTCCGGTTCTGAGCACTGAGCACGGAGCCTGACTTTTAATACGTATTCAGGGGTGTTTGTTGAATGGAGACAGGCAGGCTCATGGAGCAGGCAGCTCTGAGGCTGAATAAAGGAACCTCCTTCGTCTGGGACTCCAGCACCTGGACCCCAGAGGGACCCGGCGTCCATTGCCCTGCCCCTCAGCTGAGCTTAGTGGGCCAGCTGGGATCTCGGGCCACGGTGACCCCCGGCTCCCCTCTGCCATCCCGGGTCACCCCGTCCCGACAGCCCCAGAGCTTCCCCGACAAACACGGGGGCTGCCTGACTTGCGCTGGAAGGAGATGGGCTCAGAAGCGCCCACCTCTTGTCCGCGCTGTCAGCCCTGCTCGCGACAGCCCCCCAGCCACGGCCGGTTTTATTAGAGGCGGCTACGCCCCTGTTTTCCCTCCCTGGGAAGGTGACCTCCTCCTCGATCCACGGGACCCCGTCACTCATGCCGGGGGATTTTCTTGTGTTGAGAACTGCCCCTGTGCTGCCCCCTGGGGTGTCCGAGGAGGACATTTCTTGGTGCCACCGTTGGCAGTGTCCTCTTGGCCACTGCTCTGCCCACTCAGGGTGTGGGTGGGTCCTCGGGAGGCAGCGGGATACCGCCCGTCGGGGGCCGCGGGCGCCTGCGCACTTGCCTGCCTCTGCCAGACCCAGCTTCCGAGGCTGCTCGGCCCGGGGCTCTGGGCCCTCCTGCCAGTCCGACAAGGCTGCCCGTGGCCACGGGGCCCTTCCAAACTTGAGGGCGGAGATGATCGTTTTTCCCCAACCCAAACTCACAGTCAAAGAAATCTGCCGTGATGTCACTTAATTGTGTCCGTGTGATATTGTGACTTAGGATAAGAAATAGGAATTCAGTCTTCGTCCAGTCCGTTTCTGGCACAGAGTTCCCCCAACCCTTGGAATTTCCTAAATGGCGAGGGCCACAAAGACGGAGAGGCCGGAGGTGGCCTCAGTCACCAGCGGCCACCGAGGCAATCAGCCGTGCCCGTATCACGGAGCCTCCATAAAAACCCAAAAGGAGGGGCTCAGAGAGCTTCCGGGTTGGTGAGCACAGGGAGGTGTGTGCACAGTGGCACCTGGAGGGGCATGGAAGCCACACACCCTTTCCCCACACCAGGGGCTACTTTCCTCTTGCATCTGGCTGTCCCTGAGCTATAACCTTCTAGAAACACCAGCCATGCAGTGGGTAAAACGTTTCTCTGAGTCTTGTGAGCGGCTCAGGCAAATGCATCCAGCCCGAGGAGGGGGCCTGCTCTATAGCCGGTCGGTCACCAGTCTAGGTAACCTGGAGGGACCCAAGTAGGAGATGGGGGCAGCCTTGTGGGACTGAGTCCCCAGCCTGGGGAAATCTGATGCCGTCCTCGGGGAGACAGTGTCAGAGTTCAGTTGGCTTCTGGGACATTCTGCAGGGGTCGGAGAATTACTTGCTGCCGTGTGGCAGGTCCCCACACGCGTGCACGTGCAGACTGGGCCCAGGAAACGAACTCAGTCCGTTACGTTTTCGTATTGCGCTAAAGCACACAGCACATAAAACTTGCCATTTTAGCCGTTCTTAAAGCCTACGATTCGGGGAGATGAAGTACATTCACGGTCCTGTGCGACCCTCACCACTCTCTGGTGCCAGAACATTTTCATCACCCCGAAAGGAAACCCTGTGCCCACGAAGCAGTGATCCCTCATTCTCCCCAGCCTAGAAAGGCCACTGATCTGTTTTCTGTCCGGGGATTCTCCTCCTCTGGACGCTTGATGTAAGTGGGTCATGAAGGGTCACGAGAGAAGGTCACTCGCGTGTTGTGTTTGAGGCTGGCCTGTGGTGTGGCACCCGTCGGAGCTTGGTTGCGTTTTAAGGCCCAGTCTCACTGCACCGTGTGGGTCCACCAGGCGTGTTCATCTGTTTTCATCGGTCGGTGGGCACTGTTGCTTCCAGCTGCTGGTGGCTGTGAACTTGGGTGTGCAGAGACCTGCTTCCTCCCTGTTCTCTCAGGGGTGCACCTGCGGGGGGGGATCGCCGGGTCTTGTGCGGGGTCAGCCTGCTCCCGCTGGAACAATAGCACAGACCGGGGGTGCGGGGGGGGGGGGGGGGGGGGGGGGGGAGAAGCCATAAGAAATTCCTTGCTCCCAGGTCTGGACGCTGAGCGGCTCCAGCTGGGGCCCCCTCCCCAGCTGTCTGGAAGCCTGCCTTCTCCCTGGGTCCCCTGGGTCCCCCTGTCCTGGGATCAGGGCCCCACCCCATGACCTCATTCTTCCCTAATCGCCTCTTTGAAGGCCTCACCTCCATATTCGGTCACACTGGGGGTGTTGGGGCTTCAAGCAGGAATTTGGGGCTGGGGGTGGGGCTCTGGGGTAGGAGTCGCAGCCTGGGCTTGGGTCCTGGCTCCAAGCCTCAGGACCTCTTTGCCCTCTGCTCCTTGGGGTGTATCCCCTTGGGGGGAATCCAGTCACTCACTGCCCTGCATGGCGGGAGGCGGGGGGGTGTCTGGCCAGGCCTGAAGGGTGCTGGTTCCCCACCCCTACTCAGGAACTACTGGCCCAAGGCTGCGTCTTCCAGGAGCGACAGGGCTGGGAGCGGCCGGGATGGTTCACCCCGAAAGGCACAGCTCCGGTGAGTGGCCACCCGGGCCTAGCCCACCCCCACTCCCGTCCACACCACCCGAGGCGGGGCCCGCGGGGCGGGTGAGTCACCTTGTGGGAGGGAAGGCTGAGCCCCCTGTAGATGTGCCCGTGAGCATGGGGCCCGTCCTCTGCAGATGTCCCCAGGGCCGTCACTCACCGCCCACAGCAGCCAGGCCTTCCAAGGCCCAGATAAGCCCGGGGCCCCCGGGAAAGCTGGTGTTCCACAGTGAGGGGGCCGCGCGCAAGACTCCCCCGCCGCGCCGGAGAAATTAGCACATCTTCCCATAATTTTGCTCATATATTTTTGGCAAATGCCACTGTTATTTTATGTTAGTAGAAGCATTTAGCACAAAATTATGCATTCCGTGTTGGTTTGTAACTTGGGATTTCACAGCCTCCCGGCCTCTGGGTGCCCTCCTGGGGGCTCCCCAACTCCCCCAGTGCCTCCCACGGGCCCAGGTTGTCAGAGAAGAACCCAACCAGCCTGCTTGTGAAACTCGTGGGCTGGGGTCCCCTGAGCGGGCGGGGACAGAATTTGATCCGGATTTATGCAAATTAAAACCCCTCTTCTGCTGCTGTAATTTACCAGTCTCCTTCCAGGGCAACCACCTCCCATCTCCATAGCAACTCACGGCCCAAGGCGGGGTCCCAGGGCATCGTTAGGCAAGAGTGGGCTCTCTAAGACCACCAGGGGGAGCAGCCTGCCCCAGGAGGCTGAGAGGCTGGAGCCACCAGGACAGGGTGGGGCTCGAACAGCCCCCCGCAAAGCCCTCCGTGTCCCAGCTGGCCTCTCCCAGGAAGCCCCTGGCCCCTGGGCGAGGAGAGGACCCTGGATCAGGGATCGGGAACATTCCCTTGGTCCGGAGATGGGCAGGCTCTGTGCCCTCTCACCTGTGAAAAGAGGCTGGGTAAGACTGGCCGTGCTGGGGAGGGACAGTTGACTGGCTCCCTCAGTAGGGGCAGGGCTGGGGAAGGGCCCAGTGGCATGTGGGCATCTCAGAGCCGCTGACAGAGGGCAGGACAGGCCACGGCCAGTGGCGGTCAAGGAGCCAGCCTCTGGGGCCCACGTGCCGCAAGGCCTGTGCCAGGCCTGTGACATCAGGCGAGTTTTCATCTCTCTGCCTCAGTTTCTCGCCTGTAGAAAGGATCTCCCTGCCTAGAAGCTTGAGGCACCCGGAGCAGGGCTCGGTCCTGACTGCCATGACAGTGCCGTCCGGCCCCCAGCTCCGTCACCCTCTTCCTCAGAGAGCTGGTTCCGGGGTCTCATCCCGCTGCCTCAGCCTCGAGTTGAAAGCCCTGACGGTGGCCCAGGGGTCCCAGGTGACCCGCCCGTCTCTCCCCAGCCCGAGCACACCCCACTTTTTCTCCATCCTTCTGGGCCCCAACAGATGCAGCCCAGCCTCCCCACCGGCCCTCAGCCGCACCGCCACCACGGCAGTTAGGGTGTTATTTGTGCAAGGGTTTGTGGGCTGCCTGAACCCCTTCACCGCCCCCCAGGCCGTGCCCCCAGCACAGCCCTCCCGAGGGCGGCCGGGTGAGGCCAGATCTGCTCCACCCGGCTCCCTGCCCGCCAAGCCGTGTGCGTGCGCGTGCGCGCCCTTGTGAACGTGTGCGTGATCGTGCGCGTGCGAGTGTAGGGCGGGGGAAGGGAAGGAAGGACCAGGAGGAGGGGGGAAGGGGCACAGTGACGAGCGTGTCTCCTCCCAGGTCCTGCGGTACGACTACTACGGGGCGTATGGGAACCGGATGCACGAGGACCACGCCTACGGCCGGCTGCTGGGGGACGAATACACGTTCGACTTCCCGCCCCACCACGACGTGGTCAGTGGCTGAGTCCCCCCCACCCCCCATCCCTCATGGAGGAGAAAGTCGGGCTCCCGGTAGGGCTGACCCCCGGGGGCCCTCCGAGAGTCTTGCCAGAGGCTCTGTGGACTGCATCCAGTTCACCCCCCGTTTCCGGCTGACTCAGTTTTGAGGAGCAAGCCGGTGATGTCTTCCTCTCTGCCCCGCTCTGTGCCGAGGCCTGGCGACGGGCAGTGGGGGCTGGGGCTGGCTGTGTGGCCGCAGGCCAGGGGCCGCCCCTCTCTGGGCCTCCTTCCCTCCTGCCCTGGATCTGTTCTGAGGCTCCTGTGACAGGCGTGAGTGACGAGCTCTTCCTTAGGGCTGCTGTCGGTGGCTCTCTCGCAGAGTAGATTCAGGACACACAGACCCAAGACGGGCCCCTCCAGAGGACGAGCAGGAGGTCTGGGGTCTGGGGTCTGCTCGCTGCCCCTCTGGCCCCAGAAGTGGGCAGATGAGGCTGGTCAGAGCCCTGGCCGGGCTGCCTGGGCCCGACTCCTGCCGGGGTGGGGGTGACGAGGCCTGGGGCCGGGCTGCCCCCCGCAGTCTGCACCGGGCAGAGGTGCTCTTGAGGGCAGCTTCGGCAGAAAGAGCGACGCCAGCCTCCACGCTGAGCGGCCCCGCCGTTTTGCAAAGGGGTCACCCAGCAGAACGGGGCTGAGCCGTGGCCTCGTGGCTGCCCCAAGAGAGCGAGAGGGGCCTCAGCTGCCCCCTGATGTGGGTGCCCAGCCCGGGGCCGCCTGGGAAGCACTGTCTCGGGGGAAAAGGCAGCCGGCCAGCTTCCTGGGTGTATGGCCTGTGAGGTCACCCAGGGCCTGGCTCAGAAGGGCCCTGAGTGGGGCTTAACGCTCCGCTGTCGCCACCTTGGAACTCTTAAGACTTTAGGAACCGGGGCCCGCGGTTTCATTTTGCATCAGGCCTCACAAATTCTGCAGCCGGTCCCCAAGGGAAAGAAACATTCCCTCGTGTGCTTTCCCCCAAAGCTGGCTCTGGTGGTAAAGGCACTGGGGGAGGGGCTTGGGCGGCGGAAGCAGGAGGCACGTGCGTCCCCAGGCTCCGGGGTCCCTGGCACCGCCTCGAGTCTGGCACCTCGGCTCCCGCGGCTCCCAGGGCCTGCAGGACGTCTGGCCCTCGGGGACGTGGGAGCCCGGAGGGGATGCCAACTTGGCTTGGTGGCTTCATCCAGCCTCCGCAAACGCGCCTGAACAGTCCCAAAGCATGAAACACACACTTGTTCTCAGCATTGGCAGCCTCCCCAGCCCGGGGAGACGGGGAGACGAAGAGTCAGCCCGGAGACCGTGTCGGGTTTTGCTCTGCGGCCCCAGTGTCGGGGAAGGTCCTGCAGCGCCTGACGGGTCGCGGGAACCCCACAGAGGACAGCGGTGTCTGCAGGGCGGTGGGGTCGCGGCATCTGGGGCTCCGGCGGGGTGCCAGCTCCCCCGGGGAAGCCCGACTGGGGCCTTGGCCGGTTTCCCCGGTGTAAATGCTCTCCCCGCTCACACCCACGCGGAGCTGGGGGTGGGGGGGTTGGGGCACCGCGACAGCACGGGCCGGATGCACGGCTCCACGATCTTCTAGCCACCTGGCCCCCAACAGACCGTGCGTCCCCTCCCCGGGCCCCAGAGGGCAGCGTCCTCGTGGGAAGTGGTGTTGGAACCTCGGGGTGGAGGAGGTGACACAGGTCCCCGACGCACAGCCAGTGCTTGGCGAGGGGTAGCTTTGCTGCCACAATTTTTCCTTCAGTGAGCAGCAAAGGGGGGGCCTCCCCTCAGCGGCTGGGTGATGTGTGTAGAACAAAGACGCAGTGGCTCGGGGACAGAAGACGGAGGAGAAAAACGGATGGATAATTTGGGACCTGGAGGTCCTGGCAGGGGCATCTGTTTACCGGCCAGCAGGCATGCTGTGTTCTTTGTGTAAAAAAAAAAAAAAAAAAAAAAATACAGCTTTACTGAGATAGAATTCACGTACCACACAATGCATCCACTTAAAGTGTATAATTGGGTGCTTTTTAAAAATTTTTTTAATGTTTATTTTTGAGAGAGAGAGACAGACAGAATCAGAAGTAGGATCTGGGCTCAGAGCTGTCAGCACAGAGCCCGATGTGGGGCTCAAACTCACGAGCTGTGAGATTGCAACCTGAGCGGAAGTTGGGCACTTGATGAACTGAGCCACAATTCGGCGGTGTTTTTTAGTGTCCCCCTGGGCGCGTGCAGCTGTCACCACGATGTGATGTTAGAACGTTTTGTCCACCCCCAGGAGAAACCCTGACCTGCCAGCTGTCACCCCCATCCCCCACCCTCTCCCACCCCATCCTCCCCTCAGGCAGCCACTAAAGCGCCTTCTGTCCCTGGAGCTTTACCTGCTGGGACGTTTCGTATCAATGGAGTCCTACAACGTGTGGTCTTCTGTGACTGGCTTCTTGCGCTCGGCACCGTAGTTTCAAGGTCCATCCATGTTTTGGGGCGTGTCCGGGCTTCGTCACTTCTTTTTCTGAGCAGTTTTCAGTTACGTGGATGCTCTGCAGTGTGTCCGGACATTTGAGCTGGCCCCGCTTTTTGCTTGTTAGGAATAACGTCGCTGCGATCATGTCCGGACGGGTTTCTGTGTGCACGTAGGTTTTCATTTCTCTTGGGTAGATATCTAGCAGGTGCGTTGCTGGGTCATGTGGGACCTCGATGCTTAACATTTTGAGGATCAGCTGACTGTTTTCCAAAGTGGCTGCACTGTTTTACGTTCCCACGCACAGTGGGTGAGGGTTGTGACTTCTCCAAGTCCTCGCCACCACTGGTGATTCTCTCTCTTTGATCCCAGCCATCCTAGTGGGTGTGAGGTGAGATCTCACTGGGGTTTCCAGCTGCATTTCCCTACTGGCTAATGATGGTGAGCGTCTTCCCATGTGCTTACTGGCCATTCGTGCATCTTCTTTGGAGAAATGTCTATTCAGACACCTTGCTCATTTAAATTGGGTTACTGGTGTTTGTATTGAGTTATAAGAGTTCCTGTTATATGCTGGATACAAGTCTCTTATCAGATTTATGCCTTCCAGATACTTCCTCCCATTCTGTGGGTTGTCTTTTCCCTTTCTTGATGGTGTTGTTGGCAGCACAAAAGGGCTTGATTTTGGTGAAATCCAACTTACGGATTGTTTCTTTTGTTGCTTGTGCTTCTGGGGTCATATTTCAGAAGGCATTTCCTAATCCAAGGCCACAAAGACTTACTCCCATGTTTTCTTCTAAGAATCGTATAGTTTAGCTCTTACTCTTAGGTCTAGGACCCACTTTGACTATGGTTCGTGTATGGTGTGAGGTAGGGGCCCAGCCTCCTTCTCTGCGTGTGGCCAGCTGCACGGGCACCACGTGTTGACGACCGTGGCTTCCTCCTCACGTGGCCTTGGCATCCTTGTGGAAAAGCAGTGACCATAAACATGCGGGTTTATTTCTGGACTCTCAACCCCATTCCAGTGATCTATATGCATATCCTTGTGTTAGTGTCTTGATTACAATGGTTTTGTAGTGAGTTTTGAAATCAGGAAGCGTGAGTCTCCCAGCATGGTCCTTCTTTTCATCCTTCAAGATGGTTTTAACTATTCTGGGTCCCTTACATTTCCATATGAATTTTAGGATCAGTTTGTCAATTTCTGCCAAGAAGCCCGCTGCAATTTTAATGGCGATCGTGTTGAATCTGGATCTGTTTGGAGAGCACATCATCTTAGCAATATCAAGTCTTCATTTTGTAAACATGGGATGTCTTTCCACTCGTTCAGGCCTTCTTTAATTTCTTTCAAAAATATTGCTGAGTTTTCAGAGTACAAGTTTTGCACTTCTGTTGAATTTGTGGGTATTTTAAAATTCTTTTTGATGATGTAGGTGGAATTATTTTCTTTTCTTTATTTTTTAACTTTTTTTTTTTTTTTTGAGAGACAGAGAAAGACAAAGCAGGAGCAGGGGAGGGGCAGAGAGAGAGGGAGACACAGAATCCAGAGGAGGCTCCAGGCTCGAGCTGTCAGCACAGAGACCGACGCGGGGCTCAAACTCACGGACCGTGAGATCATGACCTGAGCCGAAGTCGTACACTCAACCACCCGAGCCACCCGGGGAACCCTTCTTCTTCAGTCAGTTTTAATAACTTGTGTCTTTCTAGGAATGTGTCCGTTTCACATGTCACATGCTGGCATGCGGTTATGCATGGTTTTCCCTTACAACCCTTTTACTGCTGTAAGGTCGGTAGTGATGTCCCCTCTTTCCTTCCCGATTTTAGTACTTTGAGTCTCCTGTCTTATTTTCTTTGTGAGTCTGCTACTTTTGTTGATCATTCCAAAGAACCAGCTTTGTTTTTGCCGATTTTCTCCATTTCTCTATTCTCCATTTCCTCTATTCTCCATTTCCTCTATATCCTATTCTAGTCCCTATTAAGCCTTTCCTTCCGCTTGCTTCTGGTTTAATTCACCCTTCTTTTCCAGTTCCTCCAAGTGGGAAGCTGAGGCATGGATTGAGAACTTTGGAGGCATTTGCAGGTGTAAGGTCTCTGTGAGCAAGGCCCTGCCTTCCTTCCCTCCTTCTCAAAGTATTTGCCAACCCTCCCCCCACAAGTGTTTTCTTTGGTTCTTTGGTTATTCAGGGATGTGTTGTTCAATGTCACTTATATGCAAACTCCCCAAGTTTCCTCCTGCTGTGATTCTAATGTAATTCCATTGTGGTCCAAGAACATGCTGTTGAATCTGTTGTCTTCTTTTGTGGGGTATAATTCCCTGTGCTTCTGAAGAGTGGTCTTGTGTTCCCAGCTGGGAGTGCGGAGGGAGTCTCAGAGCAGGTGTACCAGGGAGAGCCCAGCACGCCGCCGTGCTCTGAGGAGGCATAGCTCAGAGCCCTCATGGCGTCCTTCCTTCCTGGAACTTTTCAGATCAAGAAGGAATGTCTGGCCTGCAGAGGGGCCGCTGCTGTGTTCAACATGTCCTACTTCGGAAAGTTCTACCTGGTGGGTTTGGATGCGAGGAAGGCTGCCGACTGGCTCTTCTCTGCCGATGTCAGCCGACCCCCAGGTACGACCTCCAGAGGGCCATGCCCCTCTCCCACTTTGGTGCCAGGAAGAACTCCCTGGGCACAGCCCTCGGTGCTGAGACCAGGCGGCAAGCTGGCTGTATCCCCTCTAGGCTTCTCCAGCTCAGGGCTCTGCCCCCTGGCTGGCCCCTGGGCCCCTGCGCCTAGATCTCTCTGCCCTCATTGCCACACCTCAGGCCCTAGGCCCCCAGCACCTTCCACTGTCCCTCCCCCTGCCCTTCCCTTCCCTCCTCCCTCCCTCCCTTCTCCATTTACTTTGTTCCAGAAAGGATACAAGGCAAGAGGCTCTCTGTAAATGTGGAGCCCCTTTGGGCACTCCCCACAGGAACACTCTCCCCAAAGAGGGTTTCCAGAATTAAATAAAAATACAGGAAGGTCAGATAGGTTTGAGTCTCAAGAATGGACGATGTTTTCCTCTTAAGTGTGTCCCATGTAATATTTGGGATGTTCATCTCCTTTTACGTTACCCTCTCCCACCTGTCTGTATTAGCTCCCTGGGGCTGCTGTAACAAAACACCATAAACGGGCTGGTTCTAAACAATGGAAACATGTTGTCTGATCCTTCCAGAGGCTACAAGTGCACACTCAAGAAGGTAGCAAGGCTGTGCCGTCTCTGAGACCGGAGGTGGGACACTTCCTGCCTCTCTGGCTCCAGGGGGTGGGGGTGGGCACCAATCTCGCCCCTGCCTTGACATCACACATCCCTGCGTTTGCTTCTCCTCATAAGGACACCAGCATCCCGGATTAGAGCCGGCCATAAGGGCCATCCTAACGTGATCACATAGCAAAGCCCTGTTTCCAAATAAGCTCACGTTCACAGGTACTCGGGGTTGGGACGTCAACATGTCATTTCAGGGACACAGTTCAACCCGTGACACCATTTTTCCGGCAGTCGCCCCACCTGCTCCTCTTAAACCTCCCTGTTCCCCACACCCCCCTTCCCCCCAACCCCGCCCCAGCACCCTTCCATCCACCTTCCCGTTGACCCGCTTTCATCCATCCATCCACATAGTCGTTTATGCGGACAGACATCAGGAGCCTCTGCTCAGCAGGCACGGGCGCACCAGAGTGAGCGAGACAAGAACCCTGCTCCTAAGAACTTTCTGGCATGTGGGGGGTGGGTGGGAGCCTGGGATGGGGGCCATCCACATCCCGGGCCAAGGTGTTTCAAGAAGAAAGAAGCCCCACTCTTTTTTTTTTTTTTTAATATTTTTATTCATTTTTGAGAGAGACAGAGCATGAGTGGGGGAGGGGCAGAGAGAGGGAGACACAGAATCTGAAGGAGCTCCAGGCTCTGAGCTGACAGCACAGAGCCCGACGAGGGGCTCGAACTCTCGAACCACAAGATCATGAACTGAGCCGAAGTCGGATGCTCGACCGACTGAGCCACCCAGACGCCCCGAAGCCCCACTCTTGACCCTTCCTCCTCCGGGAACAGCAGTGCTGGGTGACCTGCCCCTCCCGCTCTGGGCCACCCGGTCGTGGTGACGTCGCCTTTTGAGGTCACCTGCGCTAGGGCATCCTGTCGAGCGGTTACCCAGACTTGTGTGTGCCGGGCTGTGCCGAGCGGCTCCCACACTCCGGGTCTTTCTCTTGCCCCCAGGCTCGACCGTGTATACCTGCATGCTGAACCACAGGGGCGGCACCGAAAGCGACCTGACTGTCAGCCGCCTGGCCCCCAGCCCCCAGGCCTCCGCCCTGGCCCCCGCCTTTGAAGGTAGGAGATGCCCCACGGGCTGAGCGATGTTGTCACTGCAGCCCTTGTTCCGGTGACCGGCGGTGGCCGGGGACGGGCTGCCGAGGGCCGCTCTGTAATTACCTGTGGTGCCCGCAGCGGTCAGGGCTTCGGAGATTAGAGGTGTCGCTTCAGGCTGGCGGTCAGCTTTGTTCAGGCAGTGATGCGGGCTCTGAGTACTCCGTGATTATGTCTTTGAACCTGTGCGTACCGCGGAGTTTCAGAACAGCGAGGGCGTGGGCATACTCAGCGTGCCTGCCCAGAACAGAGGGAGCCACGGAGGAGGCCGTGCTTCCCACTTGGACGTACTAACTCCTTTCTGCCACCGACATCTATGCCGAACCGACTTTGATCTCTGCTGAATTCCGTCTCAGGCAGGGCAGGTCCTTAGAAGGTGTGCAGTTCAGTGCTCAAGCTGTTCCTGGGTTGCCCTCTGCAGCCCCTTCGCCTTTGCTTGCATGCCTCCAGTGACAGGTAGCTCACTACCTGTAATGCTTGTTTGCACAGCCCTGACGGCCACGTTGAGCCAGATGTGCTGCCTGTCCCTTCACCTCCCCGACCCTACCCCTTGGTTCACACGGAGCAAGGTCATCTCTAGTCCCGTAGCCGTCCCTGCTAGGGAGAAGAGAGACGGCTGAGATCCTCAGAGTGGGAAGCACCCTCCTTCTCCAGGGAGGCCCCGGTGCCGCTCTGAGAGACTGGATTTGCAGAGGAGAGGGTGTCTCTCTGAGACACCCTCCAGGGGGAGGGTCCGTCAGCACAAGAACTCAGCCCATTCAGAGAAGCTGGCAGTCTCCGCCTCCAGGGGCCTGGCTCCACGCTGCCCAGACTCGGTGAGGGTCCCCAGGGGTTGGCGGGCGAGCTCCCAGGGCACTGGGGGAGGGGGAGGGGAGCGAGAAGGAGGGCGCATTAGCCAGGCGGGTGCATTCAGTACCTGCTGAGCACTTGTCGCATCCCAGGCTGTTTGAGGCACCAGGAGGTTCTGGCCCGTGGAGTTTATATCTCTGGGTGGGGGTGCAGGGGCGATGGGACAAGGTTGCTTTGCCGGCCACAGACTCCTTTGGGGTGGATTTGGGGGCCGAGGGTGGGTGGGATTCCTGAGTCTCTGACTGCTGAAAACAGCGTCACGGGGCAGCACCGGCCGACTGGAGGCTGTGGGCACGGGTGAGCGGTCTTACTGGCGGCAGCTGGGGCTTGGGGGGCCCTTCCCTCCTGCCACTGGTGGTGCAGAGCGCCTGTGCTGTGTGAATGAACTTGTCCGCCCCTTCCTTCTCCCAGCGCTCACAAAGAGCCTTTACGGTAAGACAGATGCGGGCAGCCGGCGGTCACAGGAGGTGAAGGAGGCTGGGCGGACCTCCAAGATCTCACGGTAGGGACAGACAGGGCCGGGAAGAGACCATTCGAACACCGAGTGGAAAAGCAAGGGGACGGAAAAGAGCAGGACTATGGAGGCTATGGAAGTAGCTGAGCCAGGGTGAGGAAGGCTTCCTGGAGGAGGTGGTGTTCTGGCCTGAGCCCCGGTGGGTGAATAGGAGCTGCCGGCTGGAAAGGTGCCTGTAAGGAGCTGGCTGCAGAGGAGCAGGGGCCATTTGGAGAAGGGCTGGTGTAGCTGGGGAGGAGGGACAGAGGGACCCCGGTGAGGGCACAGGTCATCTAAATCCTGGGCCAGGTCCTGCCACTGCCTGGCTCTGCGGCCCACAGCCCTGAGCCTCACTTTCCCCACCTGGAGAACGGGGACCTTCCGGAAGGTGCCGGGGGATCCCGGGCCCTGACGGTTCGAGGAGCGCCCGCCTTGCCAGGGCGGGGGCCAGAACAGGCCGTGGAGCAGAGGCAAGGGAAAGGTGCTAATGATTCGGGAGGCATTTTTCCCAGATTCTGGCGCCTCCCGGTCCAACCGCGTGGCTGCCTGGGCGCGGGGGACGGGCTCTTGCTCGGCCTGCCAGCGGAAGTGCGCGTGGCGCGTGGTGAGGGAGGCGCCGTGACGCCTGAGTCACATCCCGGGAGGCTCTGGAACGTGCTGCCGGGCCCGGGGACACGGCCAAACACGAGAAGACCGGCGGCATGTGGACCGTGTTTTATTTTCGGCCTTAAAAACTGTACTGTTCCTGCCATGAATATGCATGCCTGTTAAATATGCATGTTTTAGACGCGGGTTAATTATACCCGTTGCGTCAGGTCACCACGACGGCAAGAGGATGTGGTGATTTGCACGCGAGCAAGGCTGTGTGCAAAGCAGCTGTCGATGCCAAACGTGATCTTGAACCGTCTTCTCCATCCCAAAAGGAAGACGCGCTTGTAGGAGACGTGCTGACGATACAGGAAGGTGCAAGGTCAACCCCGCAACCCCCAGCTCCCCGGCTGGAGCCCGAGCCCCTGGACTCTGCCCACTGACCGCCCTCTCTGCCACGGCCACTTGCAGGCTGGGCCCGGAGCTGCGGCCTCAGGACCCGGCACTTTGGGTCTTTGATGAGGACAGCTGTCCGGAGAACGCCGGGCCCGGCAGCTGCCCTGGCACCAGGCGGCCCCGGTGACCCCCGTCCCTTGAGGAGGGGCCTTGGGTGGCTTCGGACCCCTGGGGCTACGCGGAGGACGCGGCCTGTAAAAGTCCCCTGCCCAGGGGCCGGGAGGGCCCTTTTGGGGGCCGACTTGTCTTTTTGGCTTCTGTCTCCCTTTGTGCTCATCGGTTGAAGACGAAGGAGGAAGAGAGGAGACTTGATCATACCTGACCAGTGCTCTGGTAGACGTTTTAACCCAGTGGATGCTGTTAACGGTCCTGTGGGGGCAGGTGTGGTTCAGCCCATCTTATAGATGAGAAAATGGAGGCCCAGAGAAGTAAGAAGTGATGGCATCGAGCCACAGAGCCACCTCTTGGCCAGGCCGGTCTGATGCCAAGGCCCATGTGATTCCCAGACGGTATCCTCCGGGGTGGGGAGGGATAGTATCCCTGCAGAGTATCCCCACAGGGATTTGGGGGATAGCCTGTTTTCCCCAGCCCCACGGCCCAAAGGATCCAAAGGTGGGTGCAGGGTACGGTCCTGGCTGTAGGGAGATTGTGGACGTGGGACGGCCGTGGTCCCCAGGCACGGGCAAGGGGGCAGGCCACTGCGGTGAGGTCGTGTCAGTGCTCTGCAGGGTGGAGTGGGTGAGCGGGCTTCCCAGAGGAGGGGATGTTTGAGCTGGGTCCCGGAAGGTGAGGAGGAGGGGCTCAGGCCTGGCGAGGCAGTGGTGAGTGGAGGGCCTGGGTGAGGACGGACCCCCGCCCAAGAGCAGAGCCAAGTGCATCAGAGCCACGTGCCTTGTGGGCGGCAGGCTCTGACGGGCGGGGCGGGGGGGAGCGCTTTTGGACCCTCCTGAGGGCCGTGGGAGCAAGGGCGATCGAGATGTGGTAAGCAGGACTGGGGGTGGGATTGGAGGCTGGGGCCAGGAGGGGATAGGTCCGGCCATCCAGCCCAGAGGTGCTGCTGCCCCAGGCGCTGAGAGGAGGGGCTTGGAGGCTGCTTTGGGATGTGGGGGTGGAGGAGACGGCGGGGCCGCTGGCCACTTGCCCTGGTATATTCAGGAAGGGCTTCCCGGAGGCTAAGGCCTCTGCGTGGGACCTAGGGGAGCACACAGCATGTGGGGTGACAAGGTGGGGAACGTCCCAGGGGTCGCCTGGACAAGGGTGGGAGGAGGCAGCTGAGGACCGCAGCCCCTGCTTCTGCTCCTTCCCAGGCGGGATTGCGGGGGGAGGCGGGCCCCAGCTCCAAGCTTCCAGCTGGTGGTCCCAGCCCAGCCCCACCCCGCCCGGGACCCCCCCCCCCACGAGAGCCTAGCCAGCAGCTGCTCCTGGAGACGGAGAGAGCCTGGTGCCCTTTACCCTGAGCCCTCTGCCACCAGCCAGGCCCTCCTCTGCCAGGGAAGGGTAGAGTGAGGAGGGACTGCTTTTCGATCACGGTGGGTGGCTGCGTCTATTACCACAGCTGCTGGGTGGGGGGTGTGGGGGGGGCAGGGCTGGGACGCACCACCGGGAGGCACCCAGGAGGGTTCTGCAGCAGGGAGCCCCCTGCCCATCTCCACCCATGCCCACACACTACGCCCAGCCCGCGGCAGTGATGCCCAGGCTGACAGAGGTGGCTGCCAGGGGACCCCGACGGGAGGAGGCCTTCTAGACCCTTCTGCGCCCCTCCCTGGGGCCCCGCCCACAGCAGCTGTGCGAACCTGGCCTGTGAGGGCATTTCCAGTCCCATATTCCCACCGTACAGACAGAGAAGCGGCTGAGGGGTCAGGGATCGCCTGGGGACCTCTGCTCTGGGGTGGGGGAGCCCTGTGAGAATTAATAAGGAAGGAGAGAGGGGGGATGCGAGGGAAGGTCCAGGGAAAGCTGAGAAGAAGGAGGCCTCCCGCCTCCCTC